TTTTTTTTTTTTTATTTTTCAATCAGCACCAATCCCATAAATAATATTCTACACTTGGTGTACGGTATAAAACTGATGTGGAGATGCCTCCTTCTCCACCTGTGAATCCTAGGTGTGGACGTTGAAATACTGTTTCTTGCGTGTAAAAAACAAAAGAAAAGTTTTTCTTTTTGTTTTTACTTACAAAACATAGAGAATATCTTTTTTTTTTATACATACAGCAACCAGAAAGAAAGCTTATCTGAAGGTTTGTGTTTGTTTCTTGATTTGTGTTTACCGTAAACAAAAATAAGGTCCCCTCTTTTTTTTTTTTTTTTTGTTTTTTACTTTTGCTTTAAGGAGCTTAAAGTGAAGATTCGTATTGTAGCAACTCATATAAGAGAGGTCCATCTCTATACCTAATACCTACGGCTGTGGGGGTGACATACTGGAGGATGTTGATAGTTCTTCTTAGCCTCCTGTCTACAAAATGAGCATCCCAGGCTGGGTATCTTTTCCGTGGGATGTCAATCTTAATGAGAGGCCCCTCGGGGGGGTAGGGTCGCCCAGATGGAGTAGATGGCACCATTGCTCTCACCTGGAAAACGGGCAAGCAAGTGTCAGCCGTGAGTTCCTCCTGTTGCTCCGTGACCGCTCTGGTGGGCGTAGCCTGGGCCCCCCGGTACCCAGGGGTTTGGGGTGCCATGGGCTCAACATCGGGGGGCAAAGGAATGCCCCAGAGCAGCTCGGCGCAACAGGAGCTGACCAGGATCTTAGCTCTTGGCCCCATGGGATGCAGCACACCATAATATAACAGCATCAAAGCTATCCCAGCAGCAAAGCTAAGAAAGACACAACACAGTGCTGGCACGGCATATGAGTCAGTAGTGTCAGGATCTCTGTAAAAATACCAAAGGAGCGTCAAGGCAGCGTTCTCCGTCAGGACTATAGTGTAATAGGCAAACATTCTGTATCGAGTCCGCCCTTCCTTGACATTAAACCAGCAGAAAATGTACACAATCCCTACCACCATGTTGAAGAGGATCTCCTCCCACTTAGACATGCAGAAATCTGTCCCACCATGGATGATCCAGAAAGCCATGGCACACCAATGGACCACTACAAAGATCCCAAAGTAGAGCTGGAAGATGGAAGCAAAGAGAGCAAAAGAAATAACTCGGGATGAGATGGTGAAGAGGCGCCAGAAGAGATGGATGAGGGCCCCTCTGTAGCTCATACTCTTCTTGTCGTCCCTAGAGTCCCGAAGAAGCTTGTGATAGGAGGCTAGCACCCAAGCCAGGGACATCAGGGAGGCCACAGAGGACACACCTGCCGGAAGACACACAGATCCACTGAGTTAGACAGGAGGATTCGGTGAAAACATCATCTGCTCACTAAATTATTGCATCTGGGGCAGTCTCAGTAGCCAAAAGTTTCAGCTCACGTCAGGTTCTCTTTACTGTGCGAAAGTGATAAATACAGAAATATCAGTGTAGGATCTCCAAAGGATTCTTCACTAAGGAGATGGCTGATACAGACTGCATTTGGTATATTATGTTCTCAAAGACCTGGCTCTACCACCTCAGTCCAACTCTCTGCTTCTTTCAAGTCAGAAGCAGCCTCTTTCCTCATCCCGACTACATCCACATATCAGACCTTGAAAACCAGATCCCACCTAAACGTTGCAGCCCAAGGATGAAGAGCACTATCTGTAGAAAGGCTACAGCCATCTCACAGTGCAACAATCCAAGGGCAGGACAACAAAACTCCTTGTCACTTCATGGGTCTTTCTAAATTTAAAATACMTTCATACAAGCTATGATCACACTGACTTCAACTCAATGCTGTGTTGGTCAAAGAACAGGATTCCCTGTTTGCATTTACTCTTGTGAAATAAATATTGAGTTGGACATATATAAATGCAGGGAACAGCAAGACTCACTAGCATGCCCAAATTGTTCCAGAACACAGAACCTGATCGCTCCAATGACAGCTCCTTCCCAAACCCTTAGGCTCAATGCCCCTTCGCACAGCCATGGAAGCTCTCTGGCTCGCTCCTTCTCAAACACAGCAAATCCCGTTCTTGCAAACTTATCTCAGTGCTGTCTACTACGCTGTGATTGCACTGCAGCTTGAAGGACATCCTTGTGTTTTGTCACAGATAAGGGAAGTGTTCCCTGCCTGCCAACCTGGTCTCCTGATAGACTTGGATCCATGTTATATCTGTCTCCCCAGCCTTGATTCTTGGATGGACACGTGTTGTGGCCTTGCCTTCAGCGTGATCCTCTTCTGCTTKAGCCTGGACCTCCTGGAGGTCCCCATGATCTCACTCATTCTCTCATTCTGCCTGGGGCTTTTGATAGACCCTGTTACCAGTGTCCCGTTTGCCCTGGGTGTTCAGACCCCATCGACAGCTCCAGTCGGTGAGGGTCCTGCCCACACTGAGGTCACCCTTGATTCCCAGCTTGTTCTGCTCATGGAAGAGCCGCCAGTCCTTGCTGCAGCCAGGCATGGGGAAGGCACCTCATGGTACATCCAAGCAATTGGATCATATCCCCCTGCTATGACCAACACTTACACTTTTTATTTCCTTTAATGGATAAAATAGTGCACTGTCACATGCTGAGAGCGCGATAATCTTTTAGGAATTCTGAACTGAACAACCCATTGCCCAAAGCAATATAATAAAAAACAACTGACAGATCCCTGTAAAAAAAAAAAAAAAAAAAAAAAAAAAAGGCCATTAGCATCTTGTATCTCTGAAGCCACTGCTCTTCTGTGGGCTATTGCTTTGCGAGGTGAAATAGCAAGTGATAGTCTAGACTAATAGCCTTGATAGTCATAGTTTGATGGGGCAGGGAGCATCACCTATAAACCTAAAGAAAAAAACTCTAGTGATTTCAAGCAAACAATAATAATATTTCCCATACTCTAATGTGTAGCAGACTAGAAAATTGCACTGCATGTGGTTAARGTTAAAAGAACAATATTTGGGAAGTTTGAATTCTCTCTTCTCCCTGGGACAGCAGAAGGGATGATGTTTCAGCAGCAGTCTCTTTCTTCACAGTAKTTTCTTTCACTGGGATTAAGCTAATGGCTAGTGTTGACTTTACTTTAGGCCAAGGGAAAACATACGGTGGATGTGGAAAATCGGACAGGCTTTTCCTGCTTCTCCTTCAGATCTATATACAGGACGTTGGGACCTCTGTAATGGATGGAAGTTTCTGAAAGTGCAAAACACTACCTGAAAGAGATGTAGATTGGATTTGGTTTTAACCTAAAGATGTGTTATATTTTTGGTTTAAGAGTTTTTTAAGATGGGGCAATAAGTGCTGCTATAYGTCTAAGTATTCTGCTTGCTACAACATCTTCTAGCTATACAGTTTTAAAACCTTACATGCTTAAGGGAAGAAAAAAAAGTCACACATTGGCTTATTTTAGTGTTGTTATCCTACAAATTTGTAYGGCATTAGATGTACCTGTATCTACYGYACCAGCCCACAAGAGACAGATGTGTCACACTGGTTTAAAACTGTTTCTGTTGGGTTCACTTATTGCAGTACAGAAAGAGGAATAACATATACCAGATTCAGAAGCCCAGTGTACACATAGAGCTTTCTCCCACTTCCAACTTTTTCAATGAGGAAACCTGCACTAATCACAATCTTTGCATAGGYTGGCTGACAGTTCATACTTTGAGTCACTCACATTGTGTGCACCATGCCTCCTGCTAGTCATCTGAACATCTCCTTGAGCTGACAGAGAGCAGCAGACACCTCCAGAAAGTGATTCATCCTGTCCTAAGATCCGTGTGTGGGACAGGGTGGTGACTCATGCTCTCGAAATGATGGTCTCTATCCTTTGACAGGGGAGCGAGGGGACTTGTCAACACCAGCAGTCAGGCGGGATGAGTCCTACCTTTCAAAACAGTTTCTTGCCTCCTCATTTGCTTTAAGATCCAAGGAGGGAAATGAAATATTTCTAGACACTTTGACATATCCCTACCACTGTTTAACAACTCATGAGCTGGGGCCCAAAGTGACTCTTGGTGTGTTTGTGACAAGTAGGATCTGAACCTTGCTGTCCAGAGGGAAGCAACCAGTAGGTTCATATCAACAGCTACCACCGAGGAATATGAAGGATTTCTGCAGCAATATTTGCTGTTCTGTCATAGAAATGATTCCTTGGCTATTTTGCATTTCCATACATAACTCAGCCCTTGTCATCATGACCATTACTTTCTCCACTCCCACTTTGTCCTGTTGCTTCCAGCCTATGTCCTTCACATAGTGCATAACTCTCACAAACCATGTGATGAATTGTTCCCTTCTTTTCCAGTTCCTCACAAAACTTATTTCTAAACAGCTATAGAGCTTTCTCTTATTATAACTAGAACAAAAAGTGCTAGTAAGTTAGATCATGTGGTAAGTGTTTGTTTTTATTTTTATTTCTGCACGTGGTGACTGATGCAGCTTCATCTAGCGTGAGCGGGTTTTAGCTCTCTTCCAATGTTTATTTTAGCAAACATGAGTTCAAGTTGTCTAAAAATGAAGTCATTCCAGAAAACCCACTCCTTTTCCTCCCTCTCCATGCCTAGTCTTGTGAGTAGAAAATACYCACCACGTGCTGCTGTGCCTATGCAGGCACTCTCAAGCTACCCAGGTCGCTGCTTTGGTGGGGACAGGAAGCCCTACAGGGTCATCTAACAGGTTGTAAACAGCACCACTGAGGGTTAAAGCCCATAGGTCTTGAATTATTCTCCCAGCTCCCATTAGGGAGACATCACAGACACTCACCATGGTGAAGCACAGCTARATATTACCCCCATTTGACAGGCAAGGAATTACGATTAAAAAGACTTAACCAAAGTCTCATATGCCATTGATGATAAAGCAGGGAATAGCCCTCCTTCACATCAGAGTGCTACCAGTCAAGAAAATTCAAGCAGGATTTCATTCTAATGCAGACAGCCACGTTGACAAGTCCAGAGGTGGGTGCCTATGGGTGTCTTTTAGTGTTTATGGGTGAGGGATGTTTCCTTTTCTACTTAGTGGAGAATTAAGCCTTAAAACAATCACCACAGGTGGGAATTTATGTAAGTCTGAGACCGAAGTCAACCTARTTGTCTCCTTAGGCAATTTGGCAATATAGCCAGTAAAGGCAACACTTCATGCAGAGAGGTGTCTACTTCAGGGTCAACTGAGTCATTCTCTAGGCTTCCGTGGCTGTATTGTCACTCCATCAAACTCAAGGACACCCACATCACATGGACACAATTTCATCATTTAATCTCACCCATCATCCTGAACTGTCTCAGAGCAGGCAATGCTGACCTCTGGCTTCGTAATTCTTCTTTTCTCAGGGAGACCTAACAAGTAGCCCRCCCTGGTAAACACAACTGGCATGGAGATTAAGGAACAGCAAACAGTGAAGAGACACAAGAAGATGGTAAGAAATAAAAAGCTATTTTTTTTTCAGAAAATGGGTTGGACCAAGGAAAGGAAACAAGATACATTGCTTGAGTTTAGGAAAATATGGTTGAACCAGAGTATACATAATGTAGGTAGCAATCTGAGTTCAGAGGAGAGGCCCATGGACCACTCTGAGCACGAAGGAAGGAAAGTGTGATTTTCTTCTCTGGATCATACTGAYGGTCTGGAAAAGAAATGATTATCCCAGGAATGTAATGAAGCTCTCTGAAAAATCCACAAGAAAGACTAATGACTACCCTTAAATTGCTGATGTTGTTTTTAGAGCCTATAGATGTGCAGGAATAAAAACAGCACATGGAAARCTATTCTACTCTATCCAGTTTGCTTACACTGTGCAATTATGCACGGTTTTACAGCTAGTTTAATAAAATCTGCAGACAAATCACATACACACAAAAAACAAGATTTAAATTAAACAGTATATCCACTTTGTCCTCAGTGTTGGTCTACCAAAGAGGTCTACCATTAGCACTATGGACAAAGTTTTCCTAAGGAACCCAGCTCCTGGGTTATTTGAGGCAAATAATTTGAATGTGCTAACCATAACATAATCCCTAAGCATTTACTGCATGCCTGCCCCTTTAAAGCTACAAATGGTGCCCTATTTCCTTCTGGACTTTAATTCTCCTGAAGACTATTCTAAAAAAACATGGGAAGATCCCAAGATCTCTCTTGAGCAAGCTGGACACCACAGAGAATACTCAGTGTGATATGTAGCCTTCCATCAAGCACTCTGTGGTGGAAGCACTTGCTTAATGCAACAGGCAGGGTCTCCATCACTGCTCATCACTTGCAGGCTGCTCAGACCTCTGTGCAGTGATCCCTGTTATCGTGTTT